AAAAAAAAAAAAAAACAGAGCGCTATTCATAATGTAGAACCAAAAAAGGAAAACTATGATCAATGTTCCCAGAGTGGGGAAAAAAACTTTTGCAAATTCAAAAGCTACACAAGTACCAATGAATCAAAAAGTCCTAAGAGTACGCAGAAAACAGAGAAAACTTACCGATTTCTTCAGGTAATGAAGTTAAACTGTTCTCTCCAGCTCTGAGGTCAGAGAGGTGAACAAGATTTCTGAAATATTTCAAATAAGACAAACAAAAACATATAAAAGCGGTATGCCTCCTTAACTGTTCAAAAAACTTCGCACAATAAGAGAAACAGCCTCAGCTTTTTGCAAAAAATTAAAAAATTGAGAAATTAAGAAAGCTGAAAGTACCCTATTGTTCTTGGAAGACTCACTAATCGATTTGACTGCACCCACAGCTTAACAAGCGTCGTTAGCGAACCTACAACGCAAGCATTAGTTATCAGAAAATTTGACTGAAATTAATTAAAGATCGAAAAAAAAAATACCTATTTCATTGGGAAGTTGATCAAGTTCATTTTCTTCTAAATCCAGCTCTCGTAATTTCTTCAAATTACCAATCTGAGACGGCAATTTCCTGATCTGATTGTTACTCAAAACTAGGACCTGTAATAATCCAGGTTTCTTCAAGCAAAGCAGGTACTGCTTTGTCGTAGAAGTTAAGCCCAGCAAAAACTGACACACACAAACAACGATTTTTAAGCGTGAATACAAGAGGTTTAATGCCTTTCTGACCTCCTTGGATTGAGAAATTCCAAAGAACAAAGAAAACAAAAAATAGTTGATGGTTTAGGATAGTTTTATTTTTTATAAAACTAATTTGCACGTAGAAAACAGTAGGAAAATTTTACGCATAAGCTGTGAAACTTATAGTGTACTTGTCAGTACCCTAACTGTTGTTTGTATAACTTGGTCATACATTACTTGTCAAGTATACCTCTAAGTTAATTAGTTTATCGATGTCATCAGGAATCAAACGTAATTGATTCGTCGATAAATTCAGTTCTGACATGGCTGTCCAACTACCCATATCTCAAATTGAACGATTTATTTTCATGTCAAGGAATTAACAAGCATGTAAAAATTTTGGTTTTAGGGACGAAATTAAGTTGTAACTAAAAATTGAAGCACACTGACCAAGGGGCAAAGAGGTTAGTTCGTTTTCTTTAAGGTTGAGCTTCGTTAAACCCACTGCTTTAGAAAATATCCCGAAAGGTATTTTAGTGATCCTGTTATGTTCCATGCTAAGTGACTGCAAATACAAACTACATGAGAAATCAGAATAATAATGAAAAATAAATAAGGAAATAAGATAGCAGATATAAAAAAGAAGAAAATGGCAAAAGTAAATTAATGATATCAAAATCACTTATGTACAAACCACAGCAGCAGTAAACTGTTGAGGACCACCCGCTGGAAAGCTTGTTAAAAGATTACGACTCAAGTTAATGGTTTTTACAGAAGGAAAATCAGCCAGAAGACTGTCCTAAATCACAATGTTTGGACTGTTTAATAAAATGTAGCAGGACAAGTAAATTTTGAAGTAGCAGATTAAAATATACAACTTGACATCGTTTTGAAAATAATATTTAATAAGTACCGGCAATGATTCTAGCTGGTTGCTTTCAACAACAAACTCTTCTAAATTACGGCAGTTTGCTAGAGTTGACGGTAAATCATTCAATTTGTTGTAACGAATACCAAGACGAATTAAATTAGTTAAATTCCCTATAGAGGGTGGTAAAGCAACGAGATCATTATGCTGTAAATCTAACTGTGTGAGTTCCGTACAATCACCGATTTCTAAAAATTAATCCCAAATGTTTAAAAAATAGAGAAAAAACTATTCACTGAAAGAAAACCGACCCCTAAAGAAATAAGTTGCGGAAAATTTTCAAATTTTACCTTCAGGGATACTCCTCAAGTGATTGTAGCTGACCAAAAATACAATCAGTGTCTTTATGCTTCCGATGGAAGGCGGCAACTCATGAATTTTATTTTCACGGAGGTCAATCATCTTTAACTTTTTTAACTGACCAATTTTTTGTTCGATACTTACTATCCGATTGTACCGTAGCCATAGCGTTTCAAGAGATGATATCTCATAAATCACAGAGGGTATCTAAAATGACTGAAGATAAAAATGCTCAAAAGTTTTGGGATGTACGCATGGGAGAACTGATTGGAAAAATGTGTACCTCGGAAAGTTTATTATGCCGCAAATCCAGGGTTTCTAACTGAGTCAGTGAAGATAAACTGTCTGGAAGTGAAGTAAGTGCATTTTCGCTCAGCCCAAGCTTCCTTAAATTGACTAGATGGCCGACTTCGGGTGGCAATGTTGTCAATTTGTTCTTGTACAAAAAAAGTTCCGTAAGTTGAGTCAATTCTTTTATAGAAGCTGGTATGGCAATAATCTATAAAGAAAAATCGTTTCATATCTAAGGCTTGATATTTTTCTTTTAAAAAACAAAAA